GATTCTATGATTCTATGATTCTAAAACAGACCTAGACAGCACTTTTGTGTATTCCTAAAATATATTATTACATTATGCAAGACAAATAAATTTAACCTTCAAAGGCGTTGACTCCTACACAAAGAAATGCACTGATTAAACAAGAATTTTCTCCACCTCTTAAACCAGGCAGTTAGTATGAACGCCTAACCCACTGCAAGGCTCGGAGAGAAACCTTATATTAGTATAAAAGGCTGGAAGTTAGCTTTCCTTAAGCAAGCCAACATCCACTTGAAAAGTGTCTGGATAAACTATCAGTGCATGTTGATATTTTACAGTGTCTCTGTCTACATCAGAAATCCAGAAACATACTGGCAAGTGCACCGGATCAGAAACATTAGGCACCAATGTTTACCCTGACTACCTCCTATTCATAATTTCATCTGCAAACCTAATATGTACTTATGCAGACATCCTAACAACTTCAAAACAGCTGATGAAGATAAGTACACTGACATGTCTTGAAAAAAGCAACTGTGATATTCTCTGGCAACCACTCCACTGAGGCTGGTGTCATGGCAACTGGTACAGCTGATTGCGAGCAATGAGGAAAGCAACATGTGCCATCGGGCTTACTAAGCTGAACATGTACATGTGCTACCAATACTAGAATTGCTGCAATAATTTTTTGCATATTTCTGTAATTCTAAGCCATTTTCCCCTTATTCTGCAGGACAAACGGAAGCAGGTTCAGGCTGGATCTGCAAAGGTTATAGGGACAATCAGGAATTACTAACACTCCTTCAGTATAAAGTGTGAATCGCTTGGCTCTACACTAAAATCTAAGGAGTGTGACCGAAGCAAAATAGTGTTTAAAAAATTAAGAGTAAAAATTCCTGCAAACTGCATCTTCTCAAAGTAGAGAGTTCTCTGCTGCATCTCCCACTGCATCTCCTTAAAGCAGAGTTCATCAGTCTAGACCCTGGTTCACCATACTATAAAGAGTTGTCACTGCATCATCTGGATCTAGGTCACAATGAACAATTTTAACAACCAGCATTTTTGAGTCTATCAAGTCAGAAGTTTTGGTTTTTCCCAGTTGTGCCTCAGCAAAAACACTCTGGAAATTCCCAGTCTGCACCGGCATGTTACATTTTCTCTGACAGATTTTCTCATTTTCGCTCAGTTCATACAATTGTCTTTTAAAGTTCGCTTTTTCACAAGCAGTAGTTAAGCATATGACAATTTTTGAAAGAAATACAGAAACTACATCTCAGTATGACTACACAGAGCAAAGTCCAGGAACCCTTGCCACAAGAGTCACCAGTGAAGTAAGAGGATGAGTGAGGTCATCCTTTCTGCTTGCACCAGGAAGTCTCCACACCAGTAACAAGCTTTAGGATTTAAGAAGTAGTTCTAGGGACGTTAAGTTTGTTGTCCAATTTAATTTACGTTTCAGCCAAAAAACTTAAGTGGCAAAAATTTAAACTTACTCAGTCAAGGTGCATTCTTCAACTTATTTTCCATTACCCTGCTTTGATCCAGGCAGGTAGCTAATTTGGGGGTGGCACAGGCTGCTGACATTAGCAGAAGAAAGCAGTTAGAGTGTTTCCACACCTCAGCCAGGATCAGAACACAGGAGGTCCTGCTTCTTTGAAGAGGACAAGTACTGAGCAAAAGACTCTACAGACACAGCTCTCAGCTCCTTCACAGGTAACCTTGAAGCTCAGCTTTTCACAGGCCATGCTCCCAGCACTCACTCATGCTGACCCTAGTAGTGCCCTGGGCTCTTCTGCTCATCCACCACAGACTGACCTACACAACACATGGCAATGCTTCCACTCATCTCTGCCTTGTGTGTACCCACCCCTGACCTTCACAGAAGGAAGGGTATCCCTAGGCCTGTGATGGAAAGCAGTATTATTTCAGCTCCATGTTCTACAGTGGAGCTTATCTGTTTTGTACTGCTAAAGTCAAGGTCTGTAAGGTAAGCCCAGCCCAAAATACTAAATCTGCAACACCTAAGCTCATCAAGGATCTACTTATGTCGTAACTCATGCAGAGGAAACTCAAAGCCCAAAACATAGTTGGTAACAACAAATCTGATTCTCCACTTGCTTATAAGAACAAGCAAAATCCCCAGAAGACACAAGTGTATCAATGCACAAAGTTAAACAAAACCATGTGGAAAAAACGACGACAGACACAGAGCTGGGATTGCTCTTTTCACTGAAGATTTCTTGTTAAGTAGCAACCAGCCACGCCTGAACAGAAAGTGCGTTCGGAAAATGTGTTCAGAAAATGAAATATTGCTTGTACTCAGAAATGCCTGAAGTAAACACTTCCACTGAGGCCAAGGAAAAGTCTCGTTATTTCTGCTGGCAGAGTGAGCGAGGTATGAAGTCCAAAGAATGAAATACAGTAAGAAATACACTTTCCAATAGATGAACATAAACTATAGGAAGCTATCCAGTAAATCATTGCAAGTTACTGTTCCCTAACTGTGATTTAATTACCAACACCATTACAAAAAATTTACACTGCTTCTTTTCCTCAGGTAAACTTTACGTTGAGAGTGCAAACACTATTTCAGTAGAACACTATTTGAATGTTGTGCTTTCAAAGCAAAATTTAAAAAAGATAAAAATAATCTGAAAGTTATTACACCTTCAGCAATAACTTTTTAAATTTATATTCCAGTCCATAAGCTACTTATTGTCTAGAAATTCTTTCACTTTGTCCTTTCATTACAAAGATAACAAGTCATTACTTCTTTCATGCTATCCTCAACATGACCTTCTAAGACTTGTTCTCATTCAAATCTTCAATACAGAACAGAAATGAAACAGCTGCTGGAAATAGCCTGTTAAGAATAACCATGATGTTCTTTTAAGTACAAGCCTTACACTTCCTCATGATAGATCTTAGTATTTACTCTGTCTAAAATTTCCTGAGTACAAGTTGAAATATTCATAAAGACACTAAAGACGTCATGCTTGGAGCCAAAGAGTCAAAATAAGTTCCAAAATATTGGATATACACACACACCCCATGTGTATGTGTATGTTTGTCCTAGAAGAATTCTGAAGACTGAACCAATATCCAATCTCAATTACATCAGATTTATTCTACAGAATCACATTTGCATACACAATACAGATATCTGTATCATCCTTTACAAGGTAAAGCAGTTTTGACAATTTCTCTGCATCTCTCAGAAAACAGTAACCGTAACCATGTTACAGGTAAATATTAACCTCTATTTTGTAACAGAAACTGTTAAACTGATGCATATAAAGTTTTTTTTGTAAGTCTGCAGTTAAAAGTCTGAAATATCTAAACAGTTTTTCTACATCCCCAAAAATTCTAATTATTCACTTGAATCTTGCATGATTCAAAAATGATTCCTTCACCCTCAGTGAACAGAGGTAAGGATCCGGAGGGCTTTTGGGGATCATCTTCAGTAATACTGGGGAAGACTGTATTAAAATGCATGTATAAAAACATTTCTAAGAGTACTGATATTTCCAGCAAATTAAAATTCCATCTTTACAGTTTCATATACCAGAAAAAAATGTCCTGAGGTGCCTACAAAACATAATATTGCATACTGAAGCCACTTTGCCTCAGAAATCGCTATACACCTATTAACTGCATTCAAAAGGGTTTTGTTCTGGTGAAAAGTATTCTTACCGTTGCTGTTGACAGGTCTAGTAAGTCTAAATCACAAATACTGCAACCAGTTTCCCGTGTCCAAGCATTAGGAATATAGTTTCCCAAATAATTCAAGTGAATCTGGTAAAGAAAGGAACAATTCAGATTAATGAAAGGTGCATGCAAATAGGGATTTGCACCTTTTAAAGAATTCAAGCTTACACATTGAATCTCTTATACCTAAAGGCAAGTGACTGTCTTTTTCTTTTAAATCCTAAATTTAAAAAAAAAAGAAACAAAAACCCCACAAAAACTCAACCTGTAAGAACAGCTGGTAAAAGCTTGTGGTTGTTCTTTTTATTTACAAAACAGATTATATTCTCCTAGCATCTACATTTATTGCTTCAGTTAAACCAAGAATTTGTTGCCAGTATAACTACCAACTAAATGTTTGTATGACTTCCCATACACAGCAAACTATAGATCATTCAGCTCTCCAAAGCTGCTAAGTGTGATTTCAAGCCAAAAAACCCAAAATATTGCAGTTTAATTCTTTTCCCAAATCTGAGAATCATTAACACTTTACACAAAACACAAACAGAGACTATATGAAAAACACATAGAAAATGTAGAAGATAGATGCCCAGATGATGCATTTTTGACAAGCTATGCCAAAATTCAGAAGCCAGCCAGGGGGATACATTTTAAAGCAGCATCTAGCTTCTTAACACATTTTGAATTGGCACTGAACAAAATATGTACTTTTTCTGTTGACATGCTTCCTGGGCTGCCCTGTCCTCCTGGATTCCACAGGAAGTTTGTACAGAACTTCACTCTTCTCTGCTGTCACTTGCAACGGTTAAGGGACCTCTTATGTTGGGGAAAGTCTGCCTGAGGGAAGGCTGCTATTAATTCCTGCTCTACTGCCCTCATAAAAAAACTGGAAGGATAGAGTATTATTTTGCATAGAAAACACACTCCAGTCCAATACTCAATCTGCATTTTATCATATTTTGGGTGTTTGTTTATGCATATTGAAAATCATTCTAGAGAGATTATAATTAGAATTGCTGGAATTTAATTTCAGAGATGTACAATAAAGTCTACAAAAATGAGTATTTCACAAAAAAGCCATTGCACTTGAGAAGAAAAATATTAAATGTCAGGATAATTTGGTATCTACTTCAAAGAAGTGTCTCTGACTGATGTTATGTAGTAATCAGCAAATTGAAGAGATTATACAAAACAGAAGGTTCTTATAAACAAAAAGCTTTTACTATTTGGAGTTAATTCTGGGAATTACTTTCACGCTAGTTTATTTACTAACTGGTAGAAACTTCTTCTAATCCTATTACACCATTGTCCTCTTTATTCTGTGTTTAAAACAGAAGAATCTAATCCCATTGACAAATTGATATATAGCAAGAGTTTTCTCTTTGTTTTTAAAACTACATCACTACATGCAGAGATTGAGTTTTGTTTAATGTAGCGTAACTTGTGGATTAATATAAGGAGTTCCAACCTAAACTGCTTGCCCAACTGTAAAACACAGTACCCTTCTTTTCATTGGCAAAGTGTCAGCAAAGCCAGTGATGACAGATAACTCAAGGATTTAATCAAGGCAAAAATAACTGTAGCAACATGGAAGAAATTGTCCATATATTCCACCGCTACTGAGCAGCTATAAGCCAAACAGATAACAGCATCATTATATTCACTAATTCCAAAGATTAAATAGAGTGCAAAAACTAAGAAGCAGCAGTCATTGGGATATTAATGAGTTTCAAACTTTATTTCATTCTCCCGGGAGGCATTTTTCTGAAAATAAGTAGCTACAGTAAGGAACATGCACTCAGAAGAACTTAGAAAGTAGTCATGTCCAATCCTTCAGTCAACAGAGGCTATTAGAAATGATACACCTTTACACTTCTTTGCCATGTAACAAAGAAATGCAATTGCCATGTGACCAAAATCTAGCCATTTCTCCCAGAGAAACTGGGCCAGGTTCTGGAGACCACTGAATCCTTACACATGGACAGAATTTGCCAAAACAGCTGTTTCACAGGGTAGACAGTGCTCTACCATGAACCCAAAGCTCATGAGACATAGGTACATTGCAGGCAGTGATCAATGACAATGAAGATACAACCGCAAAAGCCAGCTGTGTGTGTATGTAGATACACACACACTTACATACATACATATATTTTTGCCTATGTACAATGTATTTTTTTATATATGTGTATACAAACACACACCAAGGTCTGCAGTAGGATGAGATATGTTACTGTTTTGTACCCCAGTCTGTGACTCTTGGTTAGACTTTTCTTCCCCTGAAAACATATTCTTCTGATTATCGTTTAATAACCAGACAGACATTCTTAACTAGCTTCAAGAACTGGTTTGTGATAATGAACAAAGTAACATAAGCTTACTCACTTCTAACATCCCACGCTACAATGGATTTGGGAGCAGAATGAGCTGTTTCAGCAGCGAAATCAAGTTACAGTGACAGCAGAATAACACGATGGAGAGAGAGATTAGAATACTTTTTTTTTAATCCTTGCAATTCCTATTAATATTAATTGGAAGTGAGCAGTGGTGGTGTACTATGACTGTTTCAGACTCTGCTACCGTTGGTTTTGCCTCTACTAAAATTGCTGTCTTTGCACAAAAATAAAAACAGAGTCACTCACTTTAGTGGGACCATTTCCATGAACAGTGATTGGTAACGTGTCGTACACTGAATTCCTTGCTCTTACTTTTCCTTCTTCAAATTTCAAAACTACTTCATCTGCAAATCAACAAAGATCATACAGTAATAACAGTTTATAAATAAAAGCTAAAATTTCAGAGTTCTTTAAGTTCTTGCTCATACTATATACCTTGCTGTTGCTATCATTGTCAATGTTATTTACTTGGAAGCTTGTTCATTTTTTTTAAACTAGATCTTGAATTCTAAGCTCTTTATGCTAAATAAGGTTACATCAAACTTCAGGGTTTGCCATCAGCAGCCTTCACCATTTGAATAAAATCTGCTTTAAAAATAAAACTAACTTTGTGCAAATGCTATTTATAGTGAAATCATAATTATTTCAGGTATGATCTGACTATAACATGTTGTTCTATAATTGGAGGTTAAAGGTTACAAAGGAAGTTTGCACAGACACCATTTTTCAATTTAAATTCATGACAGTTGAATAAAGGAAATTCTACATTATTCCACATTCCATTTCATTATGTAAAGTCATTTGCTTAAGAACATCAAAAATGCAATTTTAATTACCAATTTTACTCTTATAAATAAGTTTGTGAAAGGCAGATGAAAAAATGGTTAACTTTGTGTTTGTTGCTAACTTCATCTATTGAAAACTACTTTTTCTGTTTTAAATCAAATATTTTATCAGTGGGATAAATCAATTAATATTAAACCCAAAAGAACTGTAACTAATCTGGTAATCAAGGTTTACCCATCCAAATATTTCTTTAAAACAAGCATATGTTTACAGAATGATATTCATGGTTAGGCAACAGAAAGTGTTAATAACAGTTAATGAAACACACAACATGCAAGTCATACACTTACCAACAGCTCCATTTAGGGTCTGAAAAATTGTACATTTGTGGTCTAAAGTAATGTTAATGTCTTCCTGAAATAAAAGTACCAAAGATATTGAAGCATTCTAAAAGCCAATGTTTTTACAGTAATGCTGCAGTTATACTGCAGTGGCAGCAAGTAATCAGGTAAAACTACTCTATGTATTCAGCTCTTAACAATATAAAAATAAGAATTATATCTAAGTTTTTCCATATTCCTGAGTTGTGCAGTTGTACAACAATCGGTTTTATATATGCAAAAACTATCTAAACTTGAAGGATAAAGGTCATAACTCCCCCAAAAAACTACAATTTGGCAGTATAAGCCAAAGAAAATTTGTCTTAACTTAAAAAAAAAAAATCAGAAGTCTTGGCCAAGCAACAGAACATACTGTTTTACAGTCTCAAAAATAAAGCCAAATTTAAGTATAATATCAGAACAGAAAACATCAGTGGTTTTAAAACATGTTCCTAATATTGTATTACTAGTGTTACCTAGATTTTTATTTAAAGTACCATGTTTTGAAGTTGTAACATGTTGATCAAAGTATATAGCCTTTAAAACCCACTTAAAAACCCTTATACAGATAACACACTCTTGTTTTGGTCTTCCAAGATTTAGTTACATATTCTACAGCATTGGTCATTACCATACAGAGAATTAGTGCTAATGTATAGTACAGTATCCCAAGCTAAGCGCCATGGAGGGGTTTTGAATCTTAGTGCAGTAGTGAACTGTGCAGAGGTACACTTTTTTTTGTATAGAAGGCAATCTGTTTAGACAGCTAATTATATTACTTCTGACTTTGGTGCAGAGTCAGCTTTAACGTCTCTACACCCTGTTCTTTCAATTGCATATCCAGCGTTTGACTTAACTTGCATAAAATCAATTGAAACATTAAGAGTTCGAAGGAATGTCCTATGAGAAGCAGCTAAGGACTTCGAGTTTGTCTAGTTTGGAAAAGGAGGCTGAGAGGCAGCCTCATTGCTCTCCACAGTTTCCTGAAGAGGGGAAGTGGAGAGGTAGGTGCTGACCTCTTCTCCCTGGGATCCAGCAACAGGACATGGGGGAACAGTTCAACACTGCGCCAGGGGAAGTTCAGACTGGACATTAGGAAGCATTTCTTTACTGAGAGGGTGGTCAAACACTAGAACAGGTTTCCTAGAGATGTGGCTGATGCCTCAAGCCTATTAAGTGTTGAAGAGCCATTTGGACAATGCCCTTAATAACATGCTTTAACTTTTGGTCAGCCCAGTATTGGTAAGGCAGTTGGACTAGATGATCATTGTAGGTCCCTTCCAACTGAAATATTCTATTTTATTTCTGTACCTGTACCTAAACATGCCTAATGTTTTAGGTACAGCTTAATGGAAAAGCATATATGTATTTCAGAAACTTCACATCTGGCTTAAGCATACAAATACTCAAAATCAACCTCAAAATTCTGCAATATCAGCTTCTAAAGTCTTTTTGCATCAATACATTGTTAACTTTCCTTAGCACTCTTTTTCCAGCACAGGGCCACACCTCTGACATCTATCATGCTTTCATGTTGCTACTCAGCAGAGAACTTTGTTAAGCTAGGGCATGGACAGGTCTTCACCAAAAATTTACAATGCAGCTTTATTGAACGTATCTGCACAAAAAGCTGAAAAGTCAGACGCAGCTGCAGGCAGGATCTGAAATGGCAGTAAGCCAAAAATATAAAACACTGGATCAGCAAGTAGTTCAGTGACACCCTGGAAAAATGCCACATTCTCCAGTCAAACTGCCAAGTACACGGGACCCTCATAGAGATGAATGTGTGCGTTCATATACCTCAGAGCTATTATTTCTAACAGCGAAGCACAACCCGCCTGGATCTGCAGACAACCTGAAATAATATATCAAGTCATGACTCTTTGGAAGTCTGTTCATCACTCCAACAGTATGAACCTTCAGAGAACAAGCACAATTGTCAACATGGTGCTCAGGAATAAAGAGACAGCATTCCTTTTATTTTTATCTCCTGATTTTTATGAGAAGCAGCATGTTATTTCAAGCAGAAAGAAATGAGAAAGCCAGTTACTACCTACCCTTGCCAATGGGTCAACATAGATTTTGGTGTAAAACAGCTGGTCATCATCATTATCCTGCAGATTCCACTGCTGCACAATACGATTTATATATGGAGCATAACCAATAAATCCTGCAATATCACATGCACATAAGTTATTTCCATAAAAAGCACTACTCTGCCAATGCTATCCACTATGTCAGGGAGTTCATTCTGACTGTTTGGTGCCAGCAAAGGAAAAGTATGAAATTCACACAACTTGGTTCAAAATCCAGTTTTCTTCCTGTGATATGTACCAGTTCTGTTTTAAAGATTTCATAATTAAGGGTTATTTTTATACTAATGCTATTTTAAGTGAAAAAATAGGAAACAGATCTGTTTAAGATGGTGCTCAGAACTCCAAAGCATGAAATTAGACTACTACTGTTCCCAAGAAGCCCGTATGCTGAAAAAGTTTCGTTTTCATCAATCCCTTCTTGCTGGTAGAGAAGCTTGAAACTAACACTACCAGAACTACAAAGAGAATTCAACTCAAAACTAAATACGTTACGTTTAAGCCAAAACAAAAAAGGATAGGGCGGATAGGTGAGGTAAAGAAAGGAGGGAAAGGAACGGGGACACTTCTATACCTGCATGGTGCCCAGCACCATGTACCTAGGAGAAGTGATATACTGTGCTCTGTAGCAGTTAAACAGTGCCAGTGTACGTATTAATCAACTGCAAAATTATTACCAAAGTTGGCATTTAAAGGAGGATTCCAGAATTAACAGGTCATTGAGATTAACAGGAGTAACTAACACTTCTCTTGGAGTGAACCGCCTAAACCATGCCGATAGGCCAGGCAGAACTATCAGCACATCTACACTGTACGCAGAGATCCTTAAGAACAAGGTGGCCAAGTCAGCTACACTGTGCCTATAAATAGCATGTACTGCTTCGCCTAGGCTTATACGCTAGATTGTTTCTGAAGTAGATTCAATCACTGGTAACATCACTGCACAGCATTTCATTGCAAGGCACAGTTGCTTGCTAGGCTGTTACTTTATTTACCTGCTTTTTACAAGTTATTGCCAATAAATACTATGTAAGCTTGAATGAATACTACTCTTGAGCACAGAAGAGGAGCTATTCAAGTGGGGAGGGAGAGGGGAAGAGAAAAACAGCAAATCCAGTCCTCGATTTTATACTTGGTGAATTCAGGAACAGTTCCACATACAACAGAAATGAGTCGTGTTCACGGCCAAGAGTTTAATGTGTTTAAGAATCACACTTGCCTCCTGAGTTCAGGAATCGTTTTCCACTCCGGACAAGAGGATACTTGTCAGCTAGCCTTTTATCCGGCCAAATTAGTCCATCTGCTGCAAACACCACTTTATGATTAGTTTCCCAAAATTTCTTTAGCAGTTCTTCAGGGCCCCCCGCAAAGATAACATCATAGCTGAAAATAAAAATATATCCATTATATTAGTTTAATTTTAATGCTTCTGTGTCCAAAACAACAATTGGTTGGACTATTCAAATTTAAAAGGACTATCGGTATGATTTTTTATTTTGAAAAATGACTCATGTTCTACCACCATGTAAAAATCCTATACCCTTCTAGGAGAAAAGCTTCAATCAATACTATTTATCCAATACAGTTTACCCTTCCATTTACTTTTTTTTTTAAACCTTCCACATTTTGGACATTCTTTTTCCTGTGGATTTTGTTTACCTGAAATGGATTTTCACATTTCATGTATTTTGAGTAAAAAATATGTTTTCCCCTTTAGAAAATTCTTTATGTGTTTAACAACAACAACAAAATCAAAACTTAGCAGATGAAATAGAGTAGGACTGACAGATGATTTAAGTGACTCTCACTGGAAAACTCTAGATGATCTTGTTCCAAAACACAACAGCACTGACTTTCTTCTGAAAAGTCTTATCAAGAATGTACTTGGATATTTCTCAATAAAGTCTAGCTGCCCATAAACTTAAACTGTGTTGCATCCTGACAATATATAGATTTCCCCTTCAACCTCTTTAAAGCGCTAAAGACTTCAGAAGGCTCTAAACTTCACAATATGCACTTATAAAAACTTCACCTGCCTTTATGTGTTCATCAGATTTGACTTCCAACTCCTATTGAGGACAAAGACCTAAAGGTGGAGGGCTCAACTCTAAAAACAGCAGTTATCCACAGCCAAAGGTCAACACTACCCCAGAACACAAAGAAACATGCACGGGTTTGGCAAAGGTCATGTAAGAATGTAGTGCCACAAGCCTAGTGGTTTCTTGTTGTCAAACCATATCTAAATCAATGTCTCTGGGAAAAAAAAAAAAAAAACAAACACACAACAAAAACACACACAAAAAACACACACCACAAAAAAACCACACAACCCAAAACCTCAAAATATGTATAAATGATTCAACTATTCAGAGTATAAGGTTTCTTTGTTTGTATTCAAGATCTACATATAAAAGCATTAATCTGCAAACCACTTCAAGGTTCATTTTACACAGCATGAAACCATGACAAAGTAACATTGGAATCACGTCATAGATTAGTCTCTGGCTGAAGCAGCAGAATATCTGGATTTAATGGCAGTATCTCAGCCTCGCACCTTCTTCATCTGACTGCAGGTATATTCTTATATTCCTATTCCACACATCTACCTTAGTAACTGAAAATCATTGGCCCTGATATAGGGCAAAGGAATGGTACAGCTACCAAAAATCAAAAAGTCTAATTTTCACCACGATTTTGTTCTTGCAAAGTCTTTTAGCTGGGCTAAGGAGGACATCAGTACCCCCACATGCAGTACACTGAACTTTTGCATTGTGATGTGCCAATAGTGCCAACAAATCAATTGTAACTGAATTCTAGTACTTCTTTATTACAGTTCTGAAATTATTTAAAACATCTTTTCTTCAAAGGGGATTTCATGCAATTGGCCTAAGAGAACTGAACAACAGCTGGCTTACAAATGCAAAAGAGAAGATTTCCACTGCAGAGTGAAGTATGAACCCTGGAGAGGAAGTGTGTTATGCAGTCTATATAAAGTAAGCGGGTTTCTGAAAACTCTTACTGTTTTGTTTTTCTGTAACTTTGGAAGAAGAACATATGAAAAAAAATATTGTACATTTTGGAGCTTTCCCAGTTTTGCAAAAACTGCCTGTTTCTGCCCAAATATACAGGAATACACTTCCTTTCCTTTTCCATTCAATTGGTGTAGCCCATTGAAAGCCAGAAGGAGCCTGAAGAACAAGCAAGAAACAGGAGACAAGTTGAAGACAGACAAAAACAGAGATTTGTCTGAGGCTGTAACTTAATAGCTTATGGCAGGCTGTGCTTCTCCTCTTTGATCAGGTTAGTGCTGCTGCTGCAATGACTTACAGCTGTAGGAAGGAATCAAACACCCCTGGAACATTGCTTCCAAGGACAGTCATTCTGTAAAAGAAAGCCAAAGTTGAGCAACATGCTGGGCTAGCCACAGGCTCTGCTTGTGAAAGGGATACGCTACTTAATACAGCTCAGTTTATAATACAAAGCCCAGTACAGAGCTGCTAAACTGCATTACCAATTATTGTAAACTATGCACCAGTGGATATTATGTACAAGTATGAATCCAGTATGGACCTACATTTTCCACTAATTTTCATTGCAATGTGTTTTGTCAAGAGGTGACTTACTGCCACCACATCTCTTCCCAGGCAGGACCTCCACCAGCCTTCTGCCCCTTGCTGCCAGTCTCTCCATCAGCTGCTTTATGAGGCTCCTGCTTTTCTTTCCAGGCAATAGGAAAACTTCTAGAGTTGAACTAAAGCCTATAAATCCATTATTTGCCTTGCTTACCTGCTATGTCAGATTATGTTCAGTCTATCCAGCACTCAACTCCTGCTCTAAGGGAGGATTCACCTCATGTCTACATCACTAAGACCATCACAAAACACGTCCCAGGATTATCCTTGACAGTTTATACTGTTATTATGGGTGATGTACATGGCTTACTTTAAACAGGGCTTCAAAATTCATCAGGGAAGAAAAAGCATGGATATATCCAGGAAAAAGCAGGCTGCCCTGGCAAGCTCAGAGACCAGAGAAGCCCAGATACTCTTTTATTTATTCTTCATAAATCCTTCCAATTAAGTTGAAAGCAAGAAGAAAAAAAAGAAAAAGAAAAAAAAAAAGAAAAAACAGAAAGTTTCCATAACTCCAATCCCATTTCCTGAAGCTCCCAGATGGCAGATGCTTGGGGCTGGAATCCACCCATCCCTCCTCCTCTTTTGCAGCAGCAAAGCATCCTGGCTACGCACCCAGCACTCCCAGCAACACACAGAAATGGCAACGGTGGCTCAGGTCCTCTAGAACTGACCATGCAATTTTTGCATCCGCAACTTTTATAACAACTTGTTACTATTGGAGCTGCAGGTTACGAGTTCAAAATACAAACAAGAGGGCATAGGAGCAAGCGCAATTCAGGTCCTGTATCTGATGTTACTTAACTGGACTGTTCAGCCACACAGTCATTGTCAATTACACTGTATCCCCACTGGGATCACGCCTTAACCATTTTCAGATATGCAGAAAATGTAATTATACCTTACTTTGTGACAAATGTTAAAATGACCAAACAAACAAAAACCCACAAAACAAAAACCTGAGGGGTTTCAAAAGTCTTCCACAATATGAGTTCTGGATGAACAGTCACAGCATGACAGCATCAACCATTTTATCTAGTCTACACTGGTCATTAGCCAGTTCAATCTGAAATGGTCCAAAGTAAACCAGTAGTTAGCTCTTGCAAAAACAAGCCTAATTCAAACAGCGTTCCATCTGCAGGTAAAGCATTTTGCTATCTGCACCTAGACACAAGCTGTCCACAGAAGAAGTTGAAACCATTTCCAGAATTGTGAGCCATATAAAAAACTGCTTAAAAAAAAAGCAAGAAGCTAAGTTTAGGTAAACAATTCACTAGAAATTATTTGACTAGTTACAGTACGTAAACCAGACATTTCCTTTCCCCACCCCCAAGATTAATATTCCAAATGCTTCACAATGAATATAACGAAGAACACTTGAAAAAGAAAGGAAGTTCACTATATTTGTCTTTTCCAAACTTACTGCTACATTGATCAACATTTAAATTGCAAACCAGGATTCCTGGAAATGAAAAATTTCATTAGAATTAAAATATAATGCTAGAATAAAAATTTTTTTTCTCTCCTATGTGGAATCAGTTCCATCAGTTTTAAATCAATATGTAGTTGGGATTATGGACCTCAAGAACTTCAAGGGAGTTAAATCCTGTGATTTTTCATTGCAAGAAAGATTATGGCATCTGCACTTCAACAAACGTGGTCCTCTGTACTCTCTCATCCATGCCAGTAGACAGCCTGCCCCTCAACAGAATAAATTATGTTGGAGAAGAATTTGAGCTATACCCAAATCTGATAACAACTTTGCATATCTTACCATATAGGGAGAAAATAGTGATTAATCAGGATACTAAATATGAAAACAAAGACATTCAATGTAAGTATCAAATATCTGGGAAACATTTCATTAATCTGAACATTTAGTAAAGAACAAAATAATCTCCTAAATTAATCTTGAAAAGTTTCAGGTATTGCATGATCAGTAGAACAACACTATGAACAAACATGTAATATATTTACTTTTAGAGAGATACTTTTTCCACTTATGGAATGCAAAACTGATCAAATAAATAAAAAATTCAAAAACTGAACACGTACCTCCAAGCTCTGTTATTTTTACTGTCAATTAAGCATACAGAGAAAATATTCAGCACAGTAAGTTTCCCTTATAAAGCTTGTTCATAAATTGATTAAGATGATTTAGACATTGGCTTTCTAGCTATATCTACTTATCACAAGAAGCAAAATTAAGCTAGAAAACTGAGTAGCATCTTTAAACTGGTAGTAAACTTAATATGCTACTCCAACTTTCCTAAACTCTGAATTTATGCAAAACAACAAACGAACTTTCCAGTAAACACCACTGTCAGACCACTTTCTCTCTTGTGATGACGTCTGCTGTACAAATCCTGTCAAATGTCTACCTTGCAAATGGGTCCCCAGAATTCTTCAGCTGTCAATTTAAAGAATAAATAAGTAAATAAAGCAGATTAAAAGCTGAAAGAAAATTCTGGAGCAGACATTCCAACATCCCTCAGTAACAGCAGTGTGAACCCATGAACAAACCTCTTGTAGCTTGTACTCAGCTACCTCCCCAAGGATGTGTGTCTGCAATTGGGGCTTCATGTCCGATTCAAGACTTGGTCCCATACCTTCTTTACAGCAATTCTTTTAGAGCTGTGAGCCCACTCGGGTTAACGCTAGCATGGAAGAGCTTGGTGGCTACTGTCAGCTGGATTCTTAGCTGCTCTGATCATGCTCTCGTCACAGGAGCAAAAGAGGAGGAGGAGGGGGAAGGAAAAAAAAAAGCAGAGGGAAGCAATGGGAAAAGTGGGATATGAGCATGTTTAAGCTCCCTGTTCTCTGTGACAGGGAGAAATCTATCTGGTCCTTCAGTGAGGATGTTCAAGCATAGCTGTGCTATGAGCTATAATCTAGCACCTGTAGCAGCACTGTCTCTCCATCCTTCCATTGCACAGACAGCACATGCACCAGGTGTATATCTGGCACCAAGCCTCTTGCTTCAGTTCTCTAACATGTAAAAGAAGTTATTCTGTTAAGTGCTTTCCTCAGGGGCCCATTTTCCAGCTTCCTCCATATCATCATTACTTCACGGAACAAGATCATGCTCTGGTCCCACCGGTCACTTTATTTCTGGAGCTGCTTTTGCTCCCACCCATTCCACACTCCCAGCCCGCAGCCATGTCCTGCTCTCACCGCAGCTGAGTGGAGAGAGGATGAATGTTTGTCTAAAAGCCTGTCAGCTCCCAATAGCATTTTTTACCTCCCCAAGGCAGCAGAACTATGAACAACTCTTACATCTGTAAATGTGTTAAAAAAGTAACAATTGCTCCAAGATCAATCTACTATTTTTATGCATGGAGAAAAATAGAAGCAAACTCTCTCAAATAAACAGCAAGGGTGGAAAAGTAGCATGCAACTTCCAGCATGTCACAGCAGCTACTTTTGCATGCCTACCCAGACTAAAATGTAAAGGCAACAAGCCAGGTTTGCTCACCATTCAACAAACATTACAATCAAGTCCTCTTGATCAGCATAGCTTTCTATGCCTTCTTTCAGCAGTCGAACTTTCTGCCCTCCGCCAATAGAGTTCGGCAGCTCACCACCTTTCCACTCTTCACCTTTTCCAAGTACCTGGAATAAGGAAAAAGGCACTTTTTGCTAATACCCCAAAACAAGAGGCTTTTTAAAGCAGACCCTTAATGAAAACAGATGTTAAAGCAGAAGCAACACATTAAAGCATAGCAAGCCAGCATTTCCAGCATCGTAAGTTTTCTATGTCTGAAGCAGCATTCAGCACAATGACATCACTGCAAAAACATGAGACACACATTTCTTAACCAAGTAAGAATCAAGCAATTGCCTGCTACCACCATTTATTCAAATGTGTATCCTTCAGGAAAAAAAGAAGTTAATAATTGTTTCAAAATTTATAGTATAAAAATATTCTGAATGAGACCTTTAAAAGTCAATATAATCACTTTCTGAACAGGAAATGTAAGAGACCTCGGTGGATCAGGGTATTACTAACACAAACTGTAAGGTCCAGTCTTTCTGAAATCCCTCCAGAACACTCTTGGTACAAGGAAAGGATAGGTCCCCCAATATATAGCTGGCTCCTAAAATCTGCTAAACAAAACTCCTCCCTAGCCAAGCATTATAGGGAATTACATGTCAAAAAAAGAAAAAACCCTTAAACTTTTTGTGGGTTTTGAACATAATGTTTTTGGAACTTACAAAACCTGAAAGAACTACACTGCATGATGTTTTGGACAAATCTGCAAAGCTAATACATGTACCCAGAGCTCAGGCTTCTTGGGTGCTTTAGTACAGCATTATCATATTAGGAAAGGTTCTTTCAGTCTTCCAAGTTCAATGGTAGAAGTCAAACTTCAGAGACACAAATAACTTCCTATTTATAGCATAGATGCTGTATAAGCAAGCAGAAAAATTTCATAACACCATCTGAATTCCTGGCCTTTTCTCTTGCAGAACTAATTTGTGGGGAAAGTTTAGAAGGTCAGTGCCCTCCCTTTTTCCCAAGGTCACACAGAGGCCAGCCTCAGTACATGACATGCGGAGATGTGGAGCAAGGCAAAAAAGGCTGGCAAGAATGACAGAAACGTTTTGTCCTCTCAGAGAATTACAAGTTCCTGGGAAACACAGTGAAACTTTCAATTGTGACCCTCCCTCCTTCCCTACAGCAGGGATCCAGCCTTGTTTAAGGAGGAAGGAGACATCCAAAGCCCTCTGAGTGAAATGCAGCTTCCAAAAGTATTCATGCAACCAAAATCAGCTGCGCTGAAGGGCAAGGCTATATGATAAATCATGACAGAATCTGTAAGTGACTGAGGACACCGATCAGCTACTAATCTGTAAAACATTTCTTAAGGCAGTGGAAGAAGCACCCTCCCGTGGTCGTTGAGAAGGGCACCAGCAGGTAAGTAACAGGGACACCAGCAGGGCCTCTAAGCAAGTGCCCTACCTGCCCCCAAGTTCTACAATTGTTTTATTTTGCCCCACCATGCAAGGAAGCGTGGGACTACTATTACACTTCAGTTACTATCACACTGTTTCGTCTTAAAGGTTGTATAGTATGAATATTTGATATGAAAACGTACAATACCTTTACTGTGTAGTTGAAGTGCTTTGCAGTTTGCATGAAACGGTGAAAGCCATCAGTTTCTTTAGTTGCTACAGTAAAAACTGTTAGTTTATCTGAGGGAGAAAAAGAAGGAACATGTATTAATATATTTTCAGGCCACAGTTTATAACAAAAAAATGCGCTGAACAGCAGTGGATCAGGGAGTTTTATGACTTGCCTGCATCTCATTCAAAGAGAGGAGGCAAATACACTGTCATATGGTAGGCATGAGACATTATCAAACAAGAACTGCTACAGGCAAGGGTGCTGTATTTAAAATCATCCTCAGGAAGAGGAAGCAAAGAAATTTATCTGCTCTGTAAACAACTAGCTCAAGACATGAAAACAAAGCTAGTATGACTACTGGACAGGAAGGAATTTTCAAAACAAAAATAACTTATTACTTTTCAGTCTGAGCTAATCCTGTGACCTCTTATCGCAGGACTGAATGGTACCAGAGAACTTAACCCAACCTCAGTAACTCCTCTGAAAATAAGTGGTTCATATTTTTCCTGAAAAGGGGGGGGGACGGGACGGGGACGACACAAAAATAACCAACCATGGAAACCAATCCCCCAACGGGCAGCATTTAGTGCTTTTACGTCCTTGGGCAGACACAAAAGAGAAAGGGTTTTGTTTTTTCATTCAGAGCCTCTGCAAATCACAGTAGTGATAATTTTGCCTTCTTAGTGCATGCAGACAAATGACCATGCAACCAACTTCCTTTTCATATCCCAGGGCTTTTGACATAGTTAAAATGAGGCCATGAACTCCCACTAAATAGCTTCCCAATTAAACTACTGAACAACATTCACTACCCTATGCAATATGCTGTATAATCGAGGTACATAATTTAAAGCTATGAGAAAGACAGTACCCTTATCCAACATCAAGTATTTAGTCAGACAAGGCTGGATCTGCACATCGCAGTTCCCCAGTTTGGTCTGAGTTCAAGCAACAGCTGCTCTTTAAACACAGTCCATGAGATCAATCCTTACAAGAAAGTAAAATCAATCACCTCTAATGAGCATTCCAGACACCGTGCCTGTTGTTGCTTCAGTTTCCCAAAAAGCATCCTCTGAGTTTATCCTCATGAGCACAGTAACATGTGCTAGAAGTGGCTGCTGTGAAAAACATTCCTATTAACCCTTCAGCCTTGTCCACCACCACAGACTTAGCAGCCCTCAGACACCAGAGATGTCATCCCGAGTGTATTCAAATCAATCACCACTTGCCATTTCATTTTATTTGACACCAGCAAAATCAACACACAGGATGATGATCTGCTTCCCACTTTGTAGAAGAAATGCACCTTGCAAGTTACTCATGAGATGCTCTGCAGCCAAGTACTAGGGTACTTCAAGAGTACCTCTGCTCAGCCAAGCAAAAATACTTGTAGGAACACAGACATAGTTTGTAGAGCAACATAAAAAAAAAAAATACTTGTTCTAAGGAAATTCAAGTCTGTCTAAAATAGTCATAGCAGGCAAACTATGGAGACTAGTCTCAGGAGACATTGATACTGTTTCCACTGAAATAAGTCTTAGATTCAAGCCCTAGTCAACAGGTCACTTCCAAGAACACTCCTACCAGGTCAGACAGTGGTTTGGCAAGCCCATCCTCAACAGCAGCTGTAATAGTGTACATGAGAAAGAGCAAGGATAAGATAAGCATACACGATGCTTTCTCTGCTTTTTCTACCAATCTCAGTTTATGGGTTTTCCTGACCTAGATGGCATTTCCATATATTCTGAAATACTTGGTCCGCTTCGTGACCTCACTCCTTGAGCTGACGTAACCTTTAAGTAGTGACAGCACCACGTGCCCAGTACCTACTTCATGAAAAACAATCTTCTGTGCCTTAAGCAGGGCTCCTACAGTTTTTAATCTGATACTGCCCAAGTTCTTCAACTACAGACAACATCTCTACCTACCTTCCCCATCACATACAATTTTGCAGATTTCTCTCACATCCTGCCATAGCTTTTTTTTTTTGGCTTTTCCTCAACAGTCCTAGCGAAGACTTTAACTGCTGGTTCTACAATAAACAGCAAAGAAGAAACTGGAAATACTTGAAACGCTTCAACCAACTCAAACACCCAAAAATTCTGGGAAGACAGTTTTAGAAGATTAATTGCTCCATCTTTTCCCCACTTAAGTGCTAGCAGTCTTTTGTAGGCAAGAATCAGAACAAAGCCCATGAGTACATCTCAGAAGGGCAGGAAGACCTACACAGAGGATTCCAGTGCAACGCGTTCACAGACGCACTGACTCACAGCAATAATGGTCCAATACCTTCAAAATCATTTATTCTAAAGGTCATGAAACTTAAAGTAATTCTACAGGAGTCACCACAGAATGAATAAAGAACATGATATCTTAGACTATGACTAAAACAGAACTGAAGACAGAGAATAAGATTTTTCTTTATGGAACAGATTAAGTTATGATTAAGTTTTTGTTCAAGTACTGCATTTTCAAATTAGAGGGAACTGGAAAAATCTGATCATACCAGACTGCATCACCAAGCCAAGTGAATCCATTATTGAAAGTTTCCTAGGTGACCAGTCAAGCACTGACTGTAACTGTGCAATTTGGTTTGGGGTAGACATATTTCACACCTACCCTTTCCTGAGGAATGCTAACAGCAAGGATTTCAAAAATCTGTACTTGACAACATGACGTAAATGACAAAATGCGGGCTGCATCAGATTCCTCCCATAGTCACCAAGTCAAAGAAAGTATTAAATCAATGCACAAGTACAGTTTGGGAAGGAAAAATAATCTAATATTCTTTATGGGATATTGTTACTCTCTTTTAATAGAACCCACAGTAATTCCACCTACACATTGTTCATGTATTTCAATATTCACTGTGGAGCCTGGTATGTTACTTGAGTTTTGTGGAATAGGAGGAAAGAGAATGATGTGCCAAATCATAAGAGATTTTAACCTGACCTACGTAAAATGGAGAAAGTCTAGCAGACAAATAATGCAGTTGATATTGATATGAAACTGCAAAAGAACCTGCATTACACTCACAGCCAATGAAGCAATCTAAACAGGCTGCCTGAGTCACAGAAAAACAGGAAGCTATTTTTATAAAGTTATTATTCACACTGGAATGTTTTCTTTTTAGCATACTTGCCAATGGTCAATTTTTTAAAATTACAGATGAAGAGTTTTGAAAGGCTTTATTTCTACGCCTCTGCTGCATCACAGAATTTTAGGTGCATGTGGTACTTAAATAATTAAGTGCAACAGAAGTGTAATTATAGCATTCAGAGGCAATTTAGAATTAGAGTTTCTTTACAGACTACCTAGTCTTTGTTGGGTTTGTTGTTCTTTGGTTTTGGTGTGGGGGTTTTTTGTGTTTTGTGGGTTTTTTTCCTTTTTGTTTTTGGTTGGGTATTGGGGGGGGGGGGGGGGTTATTTTGTTTGTTTGGGTTTGTTTTGTTTTCTGGGTTTTTTTTAAAGTAATCTATGTCTGACCAAAGACCAGGGAAACATGCTTTTATTCTGTCTATAGTGTGTATGGCCAGACAATGCAAACTGTGTTAAATGATAGTTACCTTGGCACATTATAGAGGGTATTATCAACCAAATGAGAAAAAGAGCACTGTTCTCTTTTAGCTAGCAAGACATTACAAAAATATTAATGTAATTCTGGAGGCTCCTGCGACTTTATTGAGCTGTGAGTGACAACTTGCACCAGTTTTACTGGCCGAGTTCCACTAAGCATAGCACGGGAAACATTTGTTTCTTCCGGCGGAAGTAAGTGAAGAGAATGCCTCTGACCACCAAATACTTCTGCTAATTTCTTTTAAACTTCATCCACTTTGAAAAATCTATTCCTTGTTTGTTACATTTAGGTACAACAACCTCTTAGAACACCTGTCCCATTTGTGTCCAGTAACACAAATCCAAAGTGACACTCATGAATTCACAGGAGTGTCAAGGTGCAAGTAGAACACTGATCCCTGGGGGAGTAAATTTATCCAAGGGCCATTTCCATTTCAGGATGTGCTCAGTTACATTTATTTTGGCTGCAGTCACCCACAGCGTCCCTGCTGTGTGAAGCAGGTTTGGTCCCACAAAGAGCTGTGCCAGTGCAGAGGTTCAGTGCAGCACCAGAGCCTTCAGCGCAGGTTGAGTCGCAGGCAAACGCCGCACTGAGGTTGAGTGACTGGCCCAGAGTCCCCAGCAGCATTGCTGTGCCAGCTCCAGGGCTCCAGCTGTGCAATGAAGACCTAGGCGTAGCAGTGGAAAGCTGTCTGCAGTAACTCAGACCCCAAGTTACCACTGTGGCTCAGTACTCCCCAGCAAGCGAGCTCCAAAGTTTTCAGTCTTCACAAAAAACCCACAATGAATTCTACCTGCAGCTAGACACTGCTCCTGCTTCACCATCCACTTTGGCACAAAACCCTGCCCTGCCCTCCACCCAAGTGTCTACCCTAAGGAGCTCTGCTGTATGGTCTTGCATACAGACTTGAGCTATCCAGTTTCTTAAGTTTGACTATGTCCCTCACATGAGGGGATGAATACACACTCCCAGTAATATTTTCCAACAAACAGTAACAGCATCCTCAAATCGCAAACATATATGAAACCAAGAACACAGCAGGCAGTCGCAGCCCTCCACACTTGCAGGGTACTCAGATGCCGCAGAGAGTACGGGCTGCCCGGCAGGGCTGGGCTCCCCCGGCAGGCAGCCTGACAGAGGCATCTTGGCAGTCACTGGAGGGGATTCACCAAGCCTGGTATTTATTTCCACAAGCAAAGTCAGTTTGTGTAAAAAGAAAATGCAAACCCTGTACTGAAGTTCAACAGGAAAGCATGGAAGAAAAAAAAAAGTCTCTGAAGACCTTCATGCCAGGTATGAGGGTGTTGAAGCTATGTTGTGGTTTAACCCCAACCAGAAACTA